AAATTTTTAAAACTTCTAGACATCAAAGGAGACAACAGAGTAAAAAGATATCCCACAGAATCAAAGAAAATATTTGCAAATCATATATATGACAAGGGGTTAATATCCAGAATATATAAAAAGCTTCTACAACTCAACACTAAAAATCTATCAATGTGATTAAAAAATGGGCAAAGGATTTGAACATACATGTCTCCAAAGAATATATACAATGGTCACTCAGCACATGAAAAGATGTTCAACATCACTAATCACTAGGGAAATGCAAATCAAAACCACAATGACTCATACTCATTAAGGTGGTTACTATACAAACAAACTAAAATTTAAAAACAAAAAAAACCAGGAAATAAGAAGTGTTGCTGAGGATGTGAAGAAGTTGGAACCTTTGTGCACTGTTGATGGGAATGTAAAACAGCACAGCTGCTATGTAAAACAGTACAGTCGTTCCTCAAAAAATTAAACTTATAATTACCATATGACCTAGCAATTCCACTTCTGCGTATATACCCTAAAGAATTAGAGTCCCAAAGAAACATTTGTACACCCATGTTTATAGCAGCATTACTCATAATAGCCAAAAGGTAGAATCAGTCCAAGCATCCAACAATGGATGAATGGATAAACAAAATATGCTATATACGTACAATGAAATATTACTTAGCCTTAAAAAGGAATGAAAGTTTGACACAAGCTACAACACAGATGAACTTTGAGAATATCATGCTAAGTGAAATAAGCCAGTCACAAAAAACCAAACAGTGAATGTTCCCACTTATATGAGATTCTCAGAGTAATTAAATTCATAGAGATGGAAAGGAGGATGGTGGTTGCCAGGGGCTGAGGGGAGAAGAGAATGAGGAGTTAGCATTGAATGGTACAGAGTTTCTGTTGGGGAAGATAAAAGATTTCTAGAGATGGATGGTGGTTATGGTTGCACAGCGATGTGAATGTACTTAATGCCACAGAACTGTACACTTAAAAATTGTTAAAGTGGTCAATTTTATTGTATATATTTTTACACAACAAGATACAATCAATTTAAATAGACACAGGTGGCTAGCGGCTACCGTATTGGACAGCACAGGTCTAAAGGAGCCACAGTCATCTGAAAAACATGAAGTGCACACGGAAACAAGAAACAAATGGCCAACAGGAAGAAACATATATATATATATCAGGTCCAGAAAAGAGAAGATCAGAAGTTTGAGTCTTCCTATCAATGGAAGGCAATGGTGCCAAAGGGACCTGCCCCAGCGGCTGTAGCTCTCAGTCTCAAAATGATGGTTTACACCCTTTCTGTGCCTGACCTTGGACCAGATTCTCTATTTGTGGCACTTTTAGAAGGTCTTTTGAGGAATATTGTGACCTTAAAGACAGAAACTACCATACTGTTACATATGGAACATGCTTTTAGTTTCCTAGAAAGAACATCAAGCCATAGAATTGGCTCTACCATGTATATTCATGTAAGCTTCTGTCTTTTGATAATAGGGATTCTTATACAAGGGTCAATATTTGGAAGCATTCCCAGGAAGTGGTCACTCCAAAAAGAGAGTCTTAGAAAACTGTTACTACAACACCACTATCTACAGTTTACCAACTAATTCATATTTATTTCATGAAAAGGTAATAGGTGTTAATGTGAAAAATCAATGAGTGAGTACGCTCTGAGTTAATGTACTCAGTACCCAGAATTCTTAGGTTCTGAGTTAATGCAAATTAAAAAGGTTTATTTGCTATGGCTTTCTCAATACTTCTAACTTGTCAGTATATAATGTGACTCTCCAATAATAGGATATAGTACGTAAGGAGTCTATTTGCAAATGTTTTGAGTCATAGAAGCCACTTTTCAGAACCAGGGTTGCATAAAACATTCTTGGGAAATATCTCTTTCACCAATCAGCTGAAGCAACATGAAGAGAGCACAGTAGAAACATTGAGTGAATATGGTGATTATTGAGGAGTCAAGTGAGACTGCAGGACCATGAGTTGAACTATTCAAGGAAGTAACATTTGTATTACAGCCTTGAATTTGAAGTACAGATATGTACAAAATTGAGAAAGGAGTCTAAGGGTCAATAAAGGTAGGCCTTAAGATAGCAAACTAAAGATTTGAATTTTATTCTGTGAAAAGAGGAGCTAATGAAAGTTTTGGTGCAAAGGGATCTGGATGATTGCTCTTTAACGGCCAGATGTGGCATGGAACGAACTGACGAGAGTCAAGAATTGGAACTGAAAGATCAATCAAGCGATACCTGGGCTGAGGTACCAAGTGTCTGAAGTGAGCGAGGAATGAAGTTTGGGAAGACTGGAGTGATTACATGATTTTTGAGTTAAGTGCTCAGTGTTGATTGTACCCTGATGTGTTTTTTCTTAGCCTGAACTCTGTTCCTTTTAAAATCAGAACTTATGATTGATTGATCTCAAAAGACAGCTTTGTCCCTTGATATACAATTAAACTTCGGTTTCTTCCTGAGCTGCCGCCATCTGCACATCTTTTGTTATTGAGACACAAGACTAGCACATAATATTTCTTTCTGAAGATGACATGAGAGGTATGGATTCACCCTATGCAGGAGAGTGCTTCCACCATTGCCCATGAGATGGAATTCAAGAACTGAAGAGGAAAAAGACATGAGGCATAATCAGTTTTATCCTCCATGAAGAAGTTATTACACAAATAATGAGGCAGAACCTCTCCAATTTTAATAATAATTGAGTGGATATCATTGAGATTAGTGAATCAAATTAATGAATTAGCTACTGATAAGAGTAAAACAACAAGATAATAAATTCAAGGTTATTTTTTGCACCCACATGCCCTTTAAACATTATTTGAGAAGAGTAGTCATTTCAATTCCTAATCAGCTATATCCTTTCCTTTAAATAAGAGAAAATAGTACATAAGAGTCATTAGAGGCATAGAGCTGAAATTATTCCTCCTTGAAATGGAAAATGCAAGGGCGATAATAGTAATGCACGTGGTCAAGTGCAGTGAACTCAGGGGAGAGGCCACAAAGAAAGGCTCAAGTCGGTTACCTGTTTGCAAAGGAAGAGGCTCTATGGATGGAGGCAGCATAAAACCTTAGCTTCCTGTGTTCCATTTCCAATTCACACCCTCTTCTGTTTCTCTGGTCATTAATTACTGTACTCCTCTCTTTGCCCTCACAAAGGGGCACAAAACTACTCAACAGGCAGTGGGAAAAATGATAACCAGTAGCATTCTAGACATTTCATTATTCAAATCAGCAGAAAATGATTATACAAAATCCTTAGGAAATTGAAGTGGTCTTCTTTTCACTTTTAAAACTATACTTTGACTAATAGAAAGTCTGTCTTGTTTAATATCATCTAACAAGACCTCCTCAAACTTATCTCTCTTCCTTGACCACAGTTATATATAATCTGGAGCATTATAAAATGTTCTGATCTAAACTAGCAACATGACTAGATTCATTATTCACTTTAAACTAATGAGATTATTTTTTTAAGGGATGTTATTAATGGATTGCATAATATCCATCAGATAAAGTACTAACACAATGTTGAAAGCAAGCAAATTAAGTTATCACAGGCCTTGAAAAGCAATGACTGAGACTGCCATGATAGTCTGATCTGTAGGAAATTCAGACTTAAATAATGACTTAGATTGTTTTTTCCTACTATTATTGTGTATGTGTGAAATAAATCTGTGAAGCTAACAAAGACTAACCAAATGTACAAATTTGAACTTCTAATGAATACAATCACATTTGAAATTCTCAAAGATCACCCTCATAACACTAAAGTTATTCGGCTGAAGTCAAAAACAATTTAAAAATATTTGGAGGAAGGGCCAAGCAATGTCATCAGTCCATATTGGCCAGAGGCAAAGGGTAAGGGAGATAAGGCAGAGATGTTCCATATTGTAACCTGTAATCAATTGTAGCCTTTTCCTATTAGAAGCATTCGATAATCATTAAAAAAGTTGTCACCCATATGGTGATGTTTTGACATTACCACATATCTTACATAGTTTTAATGACAAATACCATGTTGAATGATTAAAACATCTTTACTCATGTATATCTATGTGTGTGTGTTTCCCAGAAAATCTACAGTAAAGTGATAGCTTACATTCGTATGACAATTGCATTATCTTTTTAGATTTTAAAACCCTCCTGTGAAGTTGGTAAGAAAAGTATGATTTCCCTATTTTGCAAATAAATAAAGACAGTAAGAGACTGGTCCAAAATCACCTGGGATACAGACTCAAAATCCAGGGATCTTTTCATTGAGCTTTGCTGTCCTTTGGTTTGCCCTTTGTGTGTTAGGAAGGGCTGAAATGTCACCTCCCTTTAAAGAGGAGACTAAAAATGCAATGACAGAAACAGCAATGACCCCTGGCGGAAAAAGGCTCCTAACAAAATTCTGATTGGTCTCTTGATTTATTAAAAGCACTGCTCCCAGCAAAAGGAAATAAAACTTAAACAATTTTTAATTTCCCTCTCAAACTTACGGAATCAGATTGTTGAACTTGATTCTTTTTATGTAAGGATAAAACATAATCTGAAATTAATGCTAGGTCATGAGCTGGCATTAAAGCATATTATATGTACACATGCACACACACATTACGTATAGACATATAGTTGATCCAAAGGGATACTAACAAATCGTTCACGTTACCTTCAGAACAATATTTAAACACATTGCAAAATAGCACAGACCAAAATTGAGCTACCTAAACCCCAGGGGTTTGATTTTATGACTGACTTAGGACAGATAACTAAAACAATAATAATTACAAAGATGAATCTGTTCTCCTTGACCAAAAAGACCTATCTGCTAAGAATTAGGTCCAGATCCTTTTGACTTAAACATGGAAATTTTATAATACCACTACCTTGCTTTGATATAGTATTTTAGTTTTTCATCAGGCTTTCACATGCTAATATACACTGTTACATTTCTGGGTTTAATGAGAAAACCTTCATCTTCTTGTCTCCGGGCCTCACCTTGTGAAGTCTGTCATTTCCATCATGATCATACACATCTGCTTGGCCAGCACAATTATATCATTGCCGCTGTCGTCCCATTTAGCCACTTCAGCATCCAGCTTGCTTTTCTCTTGGTGGAATATCTCCACCTGCTCAGCTATTTTTGCCTTCTCCTCCTGTGGTAGTTGTGCCATGATGGCCTGCGTGGGTTACAGAAAAAGTATGACTAATGATGAGACAAAGGAAGTATAGACAGTAGGTTGACTCTGCCTCCAGTTAAGGGCAAAGCCAGACCCTGAGAAGGGTTATAGGCTGCTCCACCATTCTGGAAAGTACGTTTTATGCAATCTCCGGGAAGGGAAAAGTACAGACTGGTAAGGTCCCCAAATTCCCTGTCTCCACCCCACATGCAAAAATATAGGGATCCAAAGGTACATGCACATTGACAGTAACAGAACTTCTCTGTTGCTTTGATGACATATGTTTGTTCAAAAGAATCTATTCTTGACAATTTTTATATTTGGTCTCGGGAAACATTTACCAGATGAAAGAATGCACCTCTTTCAACACTGAAATCTGTTCAGAGAAGGAAAAAAAGAAAAAAGTCCTTCTGTTGCTGGGAAGGAGAAGAATTTAAACAATATCTGAGTATCTAAGTTGGGGAGGGGTGGGTTCGGGCCACTTTCTGTGAGTGTTAATGAAGGAGTCCAGGGTTAGATGCTACACAAAAATCCCCTATGCAGGGCATTTCAGGGATGGCATACCTATTGCTGGCCCTCCCCCACCTCCTCTGTGGAAATCCTGGGATGACCACAGCTCCCCATAGAGCCTATGAGTATGTAGGCGGCGAAGTTGTTATGGGATAAAAAATAGGATTAGGAAGCAAAGGTTGATTTTCAATAGTTGCTAGGTAAGGAGGTGTAGAAAAGAACTACACTCTTTTCTCATTATTCATGGATTCTTTATTTGAAAATTTGCCTATTCACTAAAATTTATTTGTAACCCCAAAATTAATACTTGTGGTACTTTCACTGTCATTCACAGACATGCACAAAGCTGCAAAAAATTTCAGTCACATGATATGCATGTTTCCAGATGAGACTGAACAAGAGATTCTCTGTCCTTTTGTTTCAACATTCATACTATACTATAAATAAGTACCCTTTCTGTGGTCTGTTTAGTGACTTATTTTCCACATCTTTGTACTTTTCGTTGGTGATTTTGCTGTTTAACATGGCCCCCAAGCATAGTGCTGAAGTCCCATCTAATGTCCCTAAGCACAAGAAGGCTGTGATGTGCTTTATGGAGAAAATGCATGTATTAGATAAGCTTCATTCAGCCCGAGGTATAGTGCTCTTGGCCATGAGTTCAATGTTAATGAATCAAAACTGTAAAACAAGATATCTAAATAAAAACACTCAGTAAACAAGTTTATGTATGGACTGGTTGAAGAAAATGTTGAGACTAGCAGCTCTCAGGAGCCTCACCCTATCTTTCCTCTAGGAGCAATGATCCAGTAGTCACTAACTAAGAGTTCATGGTGACTTTATGGAACATAAGTACTGTGAATAAAGAGAATCAACTGAGTTTGTTAAAAGCCATTTATGTAGCAGGACCTGAGTGAAATGTCTGACCTCACCTCATTGCATCCTCACAGAACCATGTGCAAGCTGCTTCACAGAAAGGAGCAGGTGGAAAGTATGTCAGCGCTAGTATCCCCTCTGGTTCTGGGATACACGTATTCTCCACAAGAGAGACCAAAGGAGAATGATTTGGGGGACCTATAGCTTTCACAAAGCATAAGTAAAATAACACAAAAAAACTGCTTCCTAAATTGTAAAGATCCTCCCAATGTAAGTGAATTGTTGAAAGAGAGGTAGCTGATGTCTAATAGAAATTTCAGTGGACATAAGCTCAGAAAAACTGGGCTCAACTGGGCTCTGTCACAAACTTGGGTTAAGTCCTCAATGCTACTAGATCACAACCATAACAACTTCAGATATAAGAACAATAAACAATTACCTCAAAATGTTACGGTAGACAGCAAATGAAATAATAAACATATTAAGTGTTTTGTCGGAAAAAATTAAAGTGAGCATGTATGGGATTATTGTTAGCATTACATTAGCATCATTTCTATATTAGTTTTCCTTTCCAGGTACTTCTCTAGCTTATTACTTAGTTGCCATCAAAGAGAAGGTATGGGCCTGGATTCAATGTGACTAGAAGATTGACATGATTCCTTGAGCACAGACATGTATACCAGGCACTGTGCTAAGAGGCTTATATAAGCCCAAAACTTAATCTACTTAATCATTCTACATAATGATTAACACTATTATTACCCCTATTCTATTAATGATGACACCAAGGCTCAGAGAAATTAATTAAATTCCCAATGTTACATAACTAAAAAACTGTAGGAATAGAACTGAAATCCAGGTCAGCTAACACTGTACTTAACGACTGCGCACAACTGCATCACCACGCATGCCCATGCAGGTTGGACACTGCACAATGGTCTCAGCAAAGTGGGGCAAGGGTCACTGAAGTCACAAGTGCTGTCTAACAGACTGAGCATCCTAGACATGAGGCTTCATCTGTCCAGAGTAAGGGTATCTTTGTCTGATGTATCCTTGGACTAGCAGCTGTCCGGATGCCACCTCTTACTAACAGACAGCCATGTCTACTAACTTCCATGCATGCATGTGTGTGACTTTGTATAGATAGTACGTGAGTATCGTGTGTATGATGTGTGTGTGTGTATACACAAATTACAGTACATATTTAAAAAGTCAGACTGGTACAAATACTATAGTTAAAGTATTTAAAATACTATATTTTGAAAAATATTTTAAAGTAGTTTTAAAAACTGTATCTATAAATGTGGTTAATATATAGAAGAGTTTGTTAGAAACTCACTTATGCAATATTGTACTAATAACAAGGCGCTATTCCAACGTAATTGGGATGGGTTTGAATTTGCAGAAGTTAAATATGCACTTTTTTTCCTGCAGCATCCCGGTCTGATGATCTAATGCTGTCCTAGATTAATTTGTCCTCCTCATACAAAATTGATAATCATGCTTTACTTAGACCTCACAAGTCCTAACCAGCATGATTTAAAGAATTCACTAGGTGCGTCTCTATAAAAGAATCTGTAAAACTACCCAGTAGACCTCCAGACTCTGCAGTCAATCCTCAAATGAAAAGCAATGACGCTCTCATTGCTCCAAAAGGATTAAAAGGTATACACTTCTCTGTCAACTATATCGCTTGAGTTTCAATTGTACAATTCAGCAATTGAATATTATCTGCCTTGCTCTACTCTCTAATTCTTTCTAATGCCCTACTTCTGACATCTCTCTGAGCTTACTTAGGGTAGAGGCCTCAGCATCCTGCACAGAGTAGAAGCTCAATAAATATCTTTTGATTGACTGCTTAAACATTTTTCCACTGACTGCATCAACAAAATTCGAGAGAAGTTACCAGAACTGACAAATATTTTCTAAGGGCACAATTCTAAAGAAAAACTGGCCCCTTCAAAGCAGATTTGCAAAGGAAGATGTTACTTTGACTCTAGGGGTTCTCGATCCGCATAATGCACTTAATGGTGTGTGACTTGGGTGCAAGTGTCATTACATCTGCTTCTGCTTATGTAGCTATCAATGAGCCGAGTCTTTTCCTAAATATTTTTAAAATGCTCTTGGCTTTTAAAAATTCATAATTGACCTTTTCTGAAACTGGAATTTAAAAAAAGGTTATCTATAAACAGTAGATCACAAACTGCGAAATTTGCAAGTTAATCAAATTAAAATTCAACACATGAGTTTTAATTAGTTCTTATCAATGTAACTCAGCAGTTTGAAATGTTAACACATTAAAGCTGTTCTAGCTAGAAAAAAAACTTAGAGGCTAGCTACATTGAAATCAAGTTGAATACAAAATACATAACATGCAATTGTTCATTCCCTCAAACCAAGGGAACATGAAAAAAATTATTTTCATGGTCAAGGAAAAAGGGAAAAAAATCAGCTTTTATGTTTGTGTGATATAATCACCTGGGGCCGGTTGAGTTTCTGTTCTTGTATTCACAGGAGACAAGCAGGGTTCTCCAGATTGTTAATCTGGTTGATCTGCGGCCCCATATTGGTGGTGTCAGAGACCTGAATCCACAAAGTTTCCTACCCTCTCACCCCAGGCTCCCAGCCTTTCCTCTGAACAGCCAACCATCTTTTTCAATTAATGTTATAAATTCAACTTTTTCAATTAATGTTATAAATTATAAATTTAAATGAAAGTGCAAATCACTGATACAAACCAGCAACCTCTCATTCCATAATCTTTTCTTCAACCTAAATCTCAAGGAGCTTTTGATATAATTGCTTTTCCAATCTCAAAGAGAAAAATGACTTTTGAACTCTATGGGCCTCCAAATGGACAAGTGTTAGTTTCTTAAATGTAGAGCAAGAGTCTAACATTAAGGCTTCAAGTACATGGATGTCTATAAATAATGATTAAAAGAACTAAAACTCAATGTGGCCAGTTCTACTCACTTGGTTTTAAAGAAGGATAATAAATATAAGTAGTTAAGGAGTAGGTCCTTTGACTTTTACTAGTCTCAGGCTGTGAAGTGAATTGGAAAATTATCCCATTAATTCAAGTAAAAACTTTCATGATTGCCTAAATTGTCCAGCTCTTTCGATTAAATTATTTGGCCAGCTTTCTAATAAATGACTACCTCATGCTACAGGTAACATCATCATCATCTTCATCAACTTAACATTATGTGACAAGTTTTGTGATACATTTTATCATGCAGTTCTCCTAATGACATTATGAGGTAGGATACTATATACATATACAAGGAAATGAGGGAAGGAGAGGTTAAGAAAATTGCCCCCAAATCACACAGCTTGGCCAAGCCCATATTTAAAATCAGGTCTGTGTGACTCCAAATAATATATTCTATCACCAAGGTTAAGTGCCCAAGAGATGTCACTGAAAAGAGTTTATAAGATGTCATGTCTAGGATCAAAGGGTCTGATCGTGTCTATGTTTTATCAGATCAGGGTATGATCATTCTCATTCTCTCTCAATCGCTCTCATAAAATGTTGTAGGGAAGCAGCAGGCAAGGACACATAAAAGAAATAAACACTCTAATTTCAGAATTTGAAAGCAATGTTGGAATAGGTACTAAAAGCTTTTCTCCCACCTTAACCTCCTTTCAGATGAATTTACCCTGTTCAGAGAGGAAGAATTTGTCTGAATGAGAGCACAAAATAAGGCCCATTGACAGGGGAGGACTGGCTGCTAGAAAGAGCAACAGTCTCCGTCAAAGACAACTTCTGCCTCCTTCACAATTTTGACCAAGTTAACACAGTTTTATGGTCAAAAGTTCGACCATCTGTCATCTCAGCAATTCAACGCAGCCTCTTATTTCCAACTTAAAGTCATAATTCTATGTCTCTGATTTGTCATCATGTAATTACAGGCTAAAATAGGCTGACTCAATAACTAATCCTGTCTTCTGCAAGTTGATCACACAGACCACATGATGGATCTCAAAGACAAGTCAGCAAGTGCTAGATTATAGGAGTATTTTCTTTTTACTATCCTGGACCATTTTCATAATTCATGCAGAAAAAACTTTCAAAAAAGACTATTGTCTTTTCACCTATCGGGTGAAGAAATAAAAGATGATGTAGACAGGTGCTGTCTGACTTTTGTTTCCATTCATCATAATTGACATGGTGTCTGAGGTAAGATGCATGAAATAGAAGTACAATGAGACTGTATTCTTCCTTGTAAAAAGTGGGACTAATCATGCCATTTTGACAAGATGGTAATTATAAAGCAAGATAAGGGTTGTACAATATGCGTTGGTCTTTGAGAAAACAAGTCAATGGATAGTGGGCTGTATCAATACTGAGTTGCAATCAGTCAATCAAATTGATTTTGAATTGATTAATGTTTGGATGAATTACTCAAACTTGCCCTTTGTCATTGACATAAAAATGCTGGTTTTACTTAAATTTAAAGACAAATTCACTTGGTTGATGAATTAGTTTAGTGTTATGCCAACACAGGCTCAAAAGACTCTCTCAGCTTAATGAATTTCCCAATTTTCAACATTCTGGGGGAGACTAAATAGAGTCCACAAGGGATTTTCAAAGTATAGTGCTTCATACTCTTTTGTGTACTTTTCAGCTGTCACCAGCCTGTGATTAGAAGAGATTTCTCTTCTAAAGGATGACAATTTTCAGAGTCATCCTTTATTGAGCACTTAATGTATGTCAAGTATTGTGTTCATTATTTTACAAATACTAATTAAAACCTCAAAAGAATTCTATCAAGTAAGTCTATTATTCACATTTTACAGATAATAGGACCAAAGCTCAGAGAAATTAAGCAGCATGTAAGGAAGCATGGTCCTCACTCTACCCTTTGCAATTAGAAATCAGGTCTGTCTCAAATCAAAGCCAGTACATCTTTAGTTTTCTGGCTTTTACCCTCACATTTTACCTCCCATCTACATGTCCATCTTCTGGGTCATTTGATTGTTAGATGAGACTATTAGGACACAAAATACAAAAGAGAAATTGGGCTTTAAGTACAAAGACACTCTTGACTCAACAAAAGCCTTAGTCTTCTTTGAGTCCTCTTTATTTTAACCTCTGATTGACTATTTCCTACTCTTCTTTCACAATTCCTAAAATAGTGTGAGCTTTCTGGAGTTTCTTAATCCCTATCCTAAATTACTACCTCTTTCTCAATCTCATACTTCCTATTCATTATCTTTTCTTAAGTAAAACTTAACATCGAGAGTTAGAATGTCTAACTCTGAATTATACTATAATTTGATTGTTTCTACTCTATGGAAACTGAGCCTTTAAAGGGAAGAGAATCTCACCCTCTTTTGCAATCCCCAAGAATTTTATCTTCCACCACCGGCCCGGCCTTGATTACCTGCACCTACCCTCAAAGAGATATGGCTAATTGGATTAGTCAGAGTCCAGGATCCTCTTTGGAACACTTGCTTTGGTAGACAGCGTCACAAAATGTTCAGGAATGTTCAAATGTCAGCCAGAGCAGTGATCTTTCTGTTGCTTCCTGCTTTATGCCTTAAAGTGGCATACTTCTAGTATGTCTCTATAATTTCTTTTTCTATCACATGGCAGACAGATCTAGGGCTGCTGCCCTGGCTGTAGGTAGGTATCAAGGAGAAAAAAGTCCTCTCTCTACTCTGATGGCCTTGAACCAATTTCAAAAGATGTGGTCTTGTTTATCGGAGACCATAGGCCAGAGTATAGAGCAACAACAGCTGGGCCAGTAACAAAGTAGTACTCTAATTAATTTTCATGTGTCTTGCCTCTTGTGTTATTAACAAACTTGGAGACTTCAAGCAGAATCATGGTATCTGTGCCATGCAAGATCTGAGCATTCCTGTGTCCCTGGTTATTGAACCATCTAATCATGATCCCCAACCCCAGCAAAATCCACTCTACACAAAAGTGTTTGCTTTGATGTAGCTGCTATATTTTGAGTGATGGAGAGATAATGGAGTTAGAAGGAATCAGAAGCAGTGGTGGCTATTTTCATTGCATAAAATGTGAACTGCTGAAAACAACCCCAGATGAAAGCACAGGTTTCTGTGCTATGAATCTCTGGGGTTCCTAGTCCCTAGAAATCAGAAATTCTCTCTCTCAAACCAATTTGGTGAACGCAGCCCCTGTGCAACAAACCAAGGTCCTGGGTGTGCACTCACCCGTGCGCTCTGCCCTGCGATAAGCTGGTCATCCTCAGTTTGAACACTTGTCCGGCTGCGCACGTCATAATCTTCCTGCTCAAAGTCAGAATCGTCCTCTAGTTCTTCTGGGGTCTAAAGATACAAAGAGACAAATCAGCATATTTTAAATTGATAACCTTCACCCCATCCATATACTCCCTCACTACAAAGGATAAGTAGCCCCCAGGAAAGAGAGCTTGTAGGGGGTTACATGTAAGGGATTATGTGGGAGAGTTTGGCTAGAATGCAGTCAGAAAAATCAAGCTGCCCTAATTTATCTTTTTTAAAAAAATACATTTTGTTTATTACTTCCTCCTGTAGGTGTAGCAAGTCTAATTTTAACTCTTGACATAACATGCTTTCTAATTTTAAGAAAAGTTATATTTGTGTGTTATTTCCACCCGTAGAAATCTATTATAAGGTAAAAAGTTACCATCAACAACAAAAGTTAAACCTCTTCTTCTTCTATAATGCCTCTTTTGCTCCATCACATCTCTCTTATAGTCTCAATAAACAGAAAGGATTGATCATCTTCAGGCCAATGGCTAGACCAAATGAAGTATCTGATGTAGTCAGTAAGCTATATAGTATACAGGCTACAACTATAGGTTCTAGAGTCAAGACTGCCTGAATGTGAACCCTTGTGTGACCGTGGGCAAAATACTCTCTTAGCTTTGGTTTCCAACTCTGTGAATTGGTGTTGATAACAGTAGCTATCTATATGATTATGATGAAGACTGAGTAATGTACTCTTTGTAGAGTATCTGGCACATAACAGGTATTGTTTAAATGTTCACTGTCATTATTGCTTAGGATTTTGAAATGAATTCATTCAAAATGTTTTAGAGTGAAGCCACCAATTACTACATACCACTGAGGATTACGTACTTCTTTCATACATAATAATGTATGAAAGTACTCTTTTCATACATAATTAACTCAGACCAGCACAATGAAATAGGCTTGGGGACTTCAAGTAGAACCATGGTGTCTGTGCTCATGTTGTGTCCCCTGGCTGTTGAACCATCTAATGGTGATCCCCAATCCCAACAAAATCCATTATACACATACGTGTTTGATTTGATGTGGCTACTATGTTTTGAGTGATAGAGAGTTCTCATCTCCATCTGGAGATGAGAAAACTAAGATTCTAAGAAGCTAAGCAAGGTGCCTAAAAGTCCCTGAACTAGTTAATAACAGAACCATAATTTAGACACAAACACCCAAATGTGTCTGACTCCAAACATATTGCTCTTTATAAGTTGTTTTGTTGTTGTTGTTTTTTCACATTATAAATTTGGCAAGAAGTGGAGCTATGGAAAGGATTCAAAGTGAGTAGAGTTAGATGACGATCCCGTCCAATATGTAACGTCAGTATTGGGGAAAATATATGAATGAATCCATAAACCCAGAAATAAAACACCCTCCCCATCTTTAATGACAATAATAATAGATCGCATGCATTATGTGCTTTCCATGTACCTATCACTGTTTTCTCTAAGTGCTTTATATGCACTAACTCATGCAGTTTTCTTAACAGTCCTATGATGTAGACACTATTTTCTCCATTTTACAGTTAGGGAAACTGACATATGAGACATTATACCTTGTTCAAGGGTTTCTAAGTCACGAAGTTTGAAGCACGTACTCTAAACCATCATGTTCTGTTAATTATAAGAGGATGAACTCAGGAGGTGGCAAGGATGGTACAGGAAGGGAAGACAGTGCATTAGTGTGAGATTTTCAGGCCAACTGTCATTATCTTGAAAGGTGATGGTCACCCACAAACTGCCTTTTGGCACATAGTAGCACCACCTCCCAGTGCTCTGTCTTTCAAAAGGAAGGAAGAGACCCTGAGCAGTACTGATGATGCAGTTGCCCATTCTCCATCCAAAAGGACACATTTTTATTCCGCTGGTTTCTTTGGCCACCTCAGTGTAATTAATCAGGTGTGGTTATTGATGAAGCCTTGAGATCGGTCAGACAGGCATAAAATGGGGTCCTTCATGCCAATATCACATTATGCCTAGTAATTTTCCAAGCTTTGGCATATCCTCCTTGTTTTCCATTTCTGTCATCATCAACCTTATTAATATTCACTCAGTCATCTACAGATGTTCGATTTTCTTTCACAGGAATATTAAAAGAAAGAAAGAAGAAAGAGGTTTTGTTCCCATACTTTATTAACTAAAGCAGGGGTGGGGTGGACAGAACCCAGTTCAAATAACTGGTTGTATTTTCATTGTAGACAAAGACAATAATCTCTGGTCATTCCTCACTCTTCTGGAATGTACTGCAGAATAATTACAGCAAGTTGGTAAATTCTGCTGACAGATGAGATGACAAGATTGCAAGCACTTTTCATCATTAGTTTTTGAAAAGGAGAGAGAAAAGTAAAATGGAAAAACCTCACTCAACAGAAAAAAGGAGAATATGACAGTGCCTATAGTACTGTGTCCAAACATTTCAGTCATCTGTGCATTTAGTAGATGAGTCAATGACAAACACAACCTAGCAGCATAAGGCTAATAATAATGAGCTTTTATTCAAGTGACTATGGCTCAAGAATCAAAATGAAGTTTAAAACCGAGAAAAATAATAACCTGGATGTGGACCCAGGGGACCGGAATGTTTTAGGCCAAACTTTGTCACTCATGAGTTGTGTATCTTTGGCAAGCCACTGAGAGCTTTTCTGCTTCTCTGTCTCTTCACTCGAAAAACAGAGATGGGGCAGGCCTGGTGGTGCAGCGGTTAAGTGCACACGTTCCACTTCAGCCACCCAGGGTTCGCCGGTTCGGATCCCAGGTGCGGACATGGCCCCGCTGGGCAAGCCATGCTGTGGCTAGGCATCCCACATATAAAGCAGAGGAAGATGGGCACGGATGCTAGCTCAGGGCCAGTCTTCCTCAGCAAAAAGAGGAGGACTGGTGGCAGTAGTTAGCTCAGGGCTAATCTTTTTCTTCTTCAAAAAAATAGAGATAAAAGTGCTACTTGCCGTACCTGCCTCAAAGGATCCTAGGATGAAATATATATGAAAATGCTTTGTAAAAGATAAAAGTGAACTAAAGTAACCCATGATAGTCATAATTATTATGCTTAATAAAATATATACCTAATAACAACAACTACAATAACAATACTAGCAATCATATTGACTATCCACTATGGGTCAGGCATTCAGCTAAAGGATTTAATCTTTACAACAATCTAATGAAATAAATTTAATTCCCATTTTATAGATACATAAACAGGCTCAAAGTTTTTAAGTGAATTTTCCAAGGTGTCAGAACAGCAAATTGAGAGTTCCAGAACCCATGCTTTTAACCATCGAAAATACCACCAGGCAAATGGATGAAATTAAAATATTTTCTTGTGCCTTAAACATGCAGCAAACCCATCCAAGTCACCCATATAACTAGTTCTGTGCATGAGTCATTTGCTAATTGCCTGTAAAGTGTCTCCTACTCATGCTGTTATTATTTTGAATTATTCATTTTAAAAATATGAGTGTTATTTTTTGGTTGGTCAAATACGTCCATAATTTTAAGGAGACATGGACAAACAGAAAGGGTCTGCAAACGGGCCCAAAGATAATTAGATGTATGTCATTAGATAGTGACATAGGGTAAAAGGAATCAAAAAAATGTAAAATTTACTGGACTGAAGGCTGAGGACCGAGGTCAAGCTTCAGTTCTGCCCTTATGGGCTCTCAAAGAAGGCCTTCTTACAACAATCAAAAACCACTTTGGTCTATTTTTGATTCTCTGGATCTACTATTATCTAACTGTTAGACTATGAAAGTGGGTCTCATCTGTAAAAGGGCACAATTAAAGTACTAGGCCTCTAAAATCTCTCCCTTCTAAGAGTCTACGAGATTTACTTGTGCCTATTACACAGGCCCAAGAAGATCATGTGATTTGTCCAGGGTCACACCACACATCAGTTGCAGAACAAGATCAATCTATCTGCCTCTGGTTCCCAATCCAATGCTCAATCTCCTCTATAACAGCTTCCCTAGAGAAGTGAAATAAGAAAGGGCTGGAGGATTTCAAGTCATTGCACCAGGACATGTGAAAAATGTATTAAGGTCCATTTAAAGGAAAGGCTCAAATATGTATGAGTTTCATTGGGAGCAGAAAGATGAGGACATAGGTTGGCAACTGCGATAGGAGTGTTTGCATGATACAAGAAGAATTTCCCAATAGAGCTCTACACCACTAGAATGGATTGCAAACTAGAAAACGGGATTAAAGATTCCCTAAAGCCAGTACAGAACTAAATCTCCCCAGTCAGGACTGATGAGCCACTGGCATCTCTATCCCGTATTGCTCTGGAGGGCTTCTATCTGATCTCCTTCCTTTGGCCCTTGCCCCATACATTCTATTCTCACCAGTGTAGCCAGGGTGGTTCCTTTAATATCTAAGTCAGATCATGTTATTCTCCTGCTCAGAACCCTTCATGGGCTCCCATCTCATTCAGTGTGTCCTTAGGCCACACGTACTATTCTCTCTGCCTGGAACAGGCTTCCCCTAATACCTTTGTGGCTTGTTTCCTCCTCCTTCAAGTGTCTTCTCAAATGTCACCCAGTGACCATCCTTCTATAAACTGCACAAGCATCCTGCGCCCTACCCCCTTTATACTGCCTTGGTTTTCTCCATGGCACATTAACTGGCATATTATATCACTTGTTTGTTCTCAGTCCCCCATCAAAAGAATACAAATTCCTTGAGGACAGAGACTTTTGTCTATTTTGCTCATCTTGGTATTCAGGGTACCTCCAACAGTGGAGCAGCTAGTAAGCATTCAAAAAATATTTGATAAATGTAAGACCAAGATTAAATTACCAAATTTAAAAAAAAATCATACTAAATTAGTTCTAATTAATTAAGAAAACAAAAAACTAGGCACTTTATGGGACCACGTTGATTAACTGGATAATAGCAATCTGTAATAGGTAAATCAATTTTGTTACATAAGTTGTTTTTAAAGTTTCTTCAACCCTTTATTTACTGGCTATGACAAATATCATGACTCCAATTGTTGTGATTTTGATAACATTGTTGAATTATTTAATAAAATCTATTTCCTTAATCGATTATAAGAAGATAAACTTCATCGAAGCAGGATGAAGAAAGAAAATATTTCGTGGCTACCTATAAGGGTCAGGTCTATGTTAGTGCTTCATAGCTGTAGCAATATTTATCCCCATCTGCAGATAAGGAAATTGAGGCATAGAGAAAGAAATTAGCATGCCAATGACCCAGCAATTAAGCCATTGGTTCCCAAACTTTATTGCTTCAAGCACTCTCATTGTCTGAGTCATTTTTTAAATGCTGCTCCCAGGCTAAGAAACAAAAACAAAAAACTAACAGTTCTGTTGATTAAGCAGTTAGATCATAAAAATGGAATAAGTTGACTGGACCTAACAACTTAGTGCCTGTTGTACATTGCATGACTTCTCAAACCTTAGAATACAATTGAATATCCACTGAGCTTGCACAGCAACCATCAGAAACCCAGCATCACAAACACAGTCAGCAAAAGGAACATACCAACCTAATGTTTAAACTGTGACCTACCTTCAGCTAATATTTCATGCAGTATCTGAGAGATGTCTATGTGTTTCCTTCAACATTTTAAAATATCTTGCAGTGCTCAGGGCACCTTCACACACAGTTTGGGCCATGTGAAGTTAAGCTATAGACCTTTATCTGAACCCTGTCCGAGGCCCTTTGTTTCTATTCCCTGCCTTCAAAAGTTTCATATGTAAGCAAATCAATGTTTTAAATATACACTTGCTCCTTATTATTTGCAGATTCTTTATTTGTGAATTTGCCTACTCACCAAACTTTATATGTAATCTCAAAAACATGACTTTTGTAGTTATTCTCAGACATGTGCAATGCGGCAAAATATTTGACTCACCCAACGTGCACATTCCCAGCTGAGGTCAAACAGGACAAGGTTCACCTCTTGTTTCAGCTCTTACACTGTAATCAGGTATCCTTTTTGCAGTCTATTTAATGCCACATTTTCTGCATTTTTGTGCTTTTTGTTGCTTATTTATCTGCTTAAAATGCCTTCCAAGTGTAGTGCTGAAGCTTTGTTTAGTGTTCCTAAGTACGAGAAGGTTGTGGTGTGCCTTATGGAGACAATGCACTTGTTAGATAAGCTTCCTTCAGGCATGAGTTATAGTGTGGTTGGCAGTGAGTTCAGTGTTAATTAATTAACAATATAAATTAAATAAAGTGTCTTTAAACAAAAACACACATAAAACAAGGTTATATACTGATCAGCTGGTAAAAATGTGACCAGAGGCTCACAGGAACCTAATCCTGAATTTTCCCTGGGAGCAATGGTTCATTATTCTAATTTAGTGTTCCCAGCAACATTATCAAATATAATTACTGCAAATAATGAGAATCAAATGTACATTGATGTGCCAGATTTGTCTGTTCTTTGTTTAAACTACCATGCTGGGTAATCAGAAAATTCCTATGCAGCTGATAGATGAGCAAGGACAAGCCTCAGTAAGAAGCAAACAATAGTCTCAAGTAAGAGGAGCAGAGTAGACCTATTCCAAGAGAGAAGTAGGGCCCTGAAAGGTGAGGCTGGGATACAGGAAAGACAAGCTTTGTCTACTTCAGAGGATTGCCTGGAGCTGGCCTGGAGTGCTTAGATACCAACATCACCATTAAATATGTATTGATTGCTGAGAGGCAAGGTGATAGAGAATTTGACCCTTCAAGGTCCTTTCTACATTTATTTTGAGGAAAAAAAGATTTCTTATTTTTCCAAAGTGTAATCAACACTTTGGGAGGGAGGGAGGCATGGTCAGGTTTGCTGGGAAAGAAACAGTTCAAGTTGTCTTACTGTCTTTCTTCTTGACTTAATGCAATGGATTTTTTTAAAAGTAGACTTAATCATTATACTCAGAAAGCAAACCAAGAAATTAAGTACAAAATGAAGCCATTTGGGTGCTGAGTAAAGAAGGATTTTAAAAATAACAATTTGTACATACTGTACATTTCTCTCTTCCTAAGTTTTAAGTGGTGTGAAATCCATCTGATCAAATCACTTGAAATGTCGAGATGGAGGAATGACACTTCATGTAATAAAGACATGGCATTTTATCTAAAATTATGTTTTTTTTACAGCTCATAAATGAATAACTGAATGATGGCTATAAAATCCTTCAGCCTCCCAGATGAATGGTTGTCACAAAAATGTGAAGGCTAACAAAGCAGAAAAATGGCAAAAGAGGGAATATGTCTTGAGGATTATAGTGGGATTTAGTGCCAAATGCTTTGAAAACATAACTCTCATGGTCTATTACCTTATTTCACAAGTTAGTATGTAATGGAAAAAAATGATCTAATTTGTTACTGGCTTAAATGGCTGACTATCCTTCCTTCCCTTCTCCTCCAATTCTCATGTCTTTTCTCTCTGTCACCTTCCTATCTCCCTAGGTATTTGTTTTTCTACCCCGCCTCCTCCCCCCAACACACACACATAGTATTAAGCACCGTGCCAGACAATGTACCGTTGTGAAGGGAAAATAAAAAGACAGCCTTTGCTTTCCAAAATTTCAGAGTCTAAAGAAGGTAATAGACATAAAGGAAATAGTATAATAAATACTACCACAAACAGAAACAGTTATAGGTAATTAAAGAATAGGATTAGTATTTTTAAGAGAGAAAATTTGGGGACAGAAGATCTGATACAAGTTTTGAAAGATGGTAAGAGACTGACAGATCTAAAATGGGCAAGTTAGAAGAATAGGTAATACATCTGACAGTGTCCAAATTCCAAATTTGAACTCCACATTGTTAAGTATAATCATTATTGTCTGATACAACTTACAAATGCTCTGAATTCTTTAAATTGATCAACTAACTATTATGAAAGACATATTAAATGTGCAAACAGTCAAGTTGACGTAAAAATAAGAAGGTAAGATGCTATTTGTACTCCCAAGTGAAGGAGTTTGGTAGATATTGCAGGAGAAGCATAGATGTCAATAAAGAGGGGAGAGAGACCCTTTCTGGTGATATTTTGCCCCACCTGCTCAGATCACCTTGAAATCATTGTGTTGTGCTCTGAATGCAGGAGTGGAAAAGGACCACACATAGATGTAATGACTTCAAGGATAACAGGATTTGGGGGAGAATTAACACCATATGTGAAGTCTTTGAAGGACTAGGGATGTCCAGAGAGAATACATTCTAGATACTTCTTGAAATATCTGAGGGGCCACACACAGAAGATAAATTAGTTGTTTGTTATTGTTTTTCAGTGTTTGAGGGGAGGTGGTTTTGATTATTTAGATGCTCTGAGAGAAAGTGTTTCAAAGTGCACTCAGCAGACGCCTTGTGTTTTCATGGAGCAGCCTCAGAGACAACTGTGGAGGCTGAGGGTGAGGATACAGTCTAGGACTGCCTTGTCCAATATGGTGGCCATGAGCCACATGGAGCTATTTAGCACTTTAAATGTGGCTAGTTCATATGTTTTGGATACATTTTGGTTAAATACAATACATCATTAAAGTTAATTTCACCTGTTTCTTTTTGCTTTTTCAATGTGTCTACTAGAAAATTAAAATTACAAATGTGGCTCTGATTATATTTCTATTAGACAGCATGCTCTTGAGATTAGCACTGTAGAAACCTCACCTCGGCTTCAATCATAATAGCCACAAGTGAATTTTTGTCATCAATTGTGCTTTAGAATATCTAAGTTTATTTGAAGAAAGAGTTCTTTGGCTAAGAAATGTGTTTGAAAACTGCTATGGCAAACTGTTGGTAAGGTAAGGAGAAACAAAATCATCTTACAATGGAATACTATGCAGCAGTTAAATGGAATGAGGTAAGCTATATGTCTTAATAGAAATAGACAAAGGCATATTGTGGGTGAACAAAGCAAGTTACAAATGATACTCATGTGCATTTTAAAATCTGCTGTTATATGTTTTCCAGCACACATATAATTACATAGACAATGGTTTGGAAAGCTCACACCTACCTGACAACAAACGATTGAGGATGGGAGGAGAGTAGGGTTGGTAAGGAAGTTTTGCTGAAAGCTTATATAGCCTTATTTATAACATCTTAATTATTTGTTACAAGGAGAATGCATCTGTGTATCACTTTATTGCCATTATTATGATCATCATTATTATAGTTATCATTATAAATACTACCAAGTTGGGTAATATTCATTTCTTTCCATCCCATGGTTTTCTGATCCTGATGGGAAAATCATATTAGCAAGAAGAACACATGGAGAATAGCAGAGGCACCCCAAGTAAGTACCAAATTTAGGCAACAATGCATGCAAGAAGTAGGTGGGACATCACTCTTCAGGATATTCATTGCCAATCTAGACTTGTTGGGATCATTCCTCCCTTTATAAGTAAAAAAGTCCCCCTTGTCTGACTAAATGAGAAGTCAAACAGCTTGTCAAGTTATACTAAGTAGTTGAAAAACAAATAGGCAGTAAATTCTTTGGGGTCCTTATTAGCAGCTCCAAGCTACAGAGGCCTCACATACCCTGATCATCAGAACAGCCTTTCTGATGTCCCGAACACCGTCATACACCAGGCGAGAGGCATCGATGAACTCATTCTCCTCAAATGGTTGAGGGACGTTGGCACTCAGGGCTTCAATGGCAACCTCTACTTGTTCAGCAAAGCGTGGCATCACTGGGTTAAACAAAGTGAAAAGCAGTGGATTAGGCAATCTTTCTTTCTTGCTCCCTTGTTCCAGCCCTTGGGCTCCAGGCATTCCAACAGTTCAGTGGAGCTGGCTGCCCACCTGTACAGTTTGGAGCGAACACAATTTAACGGCCTTTGTGCCACTTACTTCAGCAGAGGAAGCCAACCATTACTCCATGAATGGTGATGGTATGCAATAGAGCAAGTTTTTAAAATCTGCCCAAGGTAGTGTGGTATAGTGTGCATGAGTATAGATTTCATGTTATCCTAAACTGAGTTGAGTTCCACTTCTGCTAGCTACCAGTTGTGAAAGCTTGGCCAAGTTTTCTTAACCCTTCAAAACCTGTTTCTATGTGTATAAAATATAAGAATAAGACCTTACCTTAGGATTCAATAGGATAATGCATACAAATGTATTGGATGGCATCTGGCCCTTTCAAAGCCTCAGTAAACATGTAACTAATTTCAGATGCTGAAGTCATAACTGGTGAGTAAAAGACCTTAACTTACATGGCTTCACAGTAAAGTGTGAATGAAATGAGGCAATCCATTCCAATTTTGTCTGGAATGGAGGACTTGAAGTATTGGAGGTGGGCGGATGGCTGTGAAGGGAGGCTTGTGGAAGGACTGTGTAAGAGGAGAAAGGGAACTCCCAGGACACTCCAGCAGAAAGCCTACGGAAAGAGACCAGTGGACTCAAAGATGAATTTGAGTTTGTTCTGTTTCACCAGGACCACTCAATAGAAGGTCTGGAAGACTTCCACTGGCTACTTAAAAAATGCTGCTAATTCACTGATTCTTGAAAATTATAATTCAACTTTCTCAGCTGTTATCTGGTAACAATCAATTCATATGGTAAATGAAAGCCAAAAGCACAAAATTCATCTTATTTATAAGGACAATAAAATAGAAACATCATTTATCTTTTGCATTTCTTAACTTTCATGCCTGATTCGTCTTTATACTCATTTTCATCCTCTGTGGATATTTTAATATCCAATTTAATCCCTAGTATGAGCAACTCTGCTAAATTACTTTACTCTCTTGGGTCAGAGTATTCAAGATAAAACATTCCTAGCAAAATATATTTCTACTAGGAAAAGTCAAACATTATATATTTATTTAAAAAACAAAAAGAAGGGTTAAAAGAAAACAGAGCCATTCTTTTCATAGAAATTATCAAAACCAAAGCATGCGTGGGGTGGATTTCCTTCTGTGAGCAAATTACTATGACTGGTTCTCTATATTATTTGAATCTTTCATTTGGGTTTTTGAACTGCTTGGATACAAAAGGAACTTGGGGATATTGAGCTGTACTGCTGCAAATATGAACTAAATAAAAATATATTTCTAAAAACCACCACATTAAATTCAAGGCATTTCAGCTATCCATTTGCATTGGGAATGAAGTGTTTTATATGACTAAATAACCTAGATAATTGAAATTGACCTCCTTAAGCCTAAAAACATTTTTGCACGTTCATTTCACATGAGTACCTTTCCTAAATGAAATTACAAATTCCCTTGCTTTCTTAAACTGAAAATTGTGAAAAATATTAATTCTATTCTATTTGATGTTTAAGCTGCCATCACCACCATCAATTTTACAGATTTATACGATACTATCAGTAGCATTTGGCTACATGAATTTTTGTCCCTATTGTATAACTGACAAAGGATTAGTACTCCTACGTGTATGTAAGATAAACACGCCTATAAATCAATAAGGAAAAAGAAAACTAGACAAAAGATTAGAATAAGCAATTCACAGAGAAAGAAATTATATATTATTGATAAATACATAATAAGATGCTTAACTTTAATAATTGGAAAAATTACTATGTAAACAATGAGATATCATTTCATACCTATTGGGAGGGGCAAACAAATTAAAAACTAATAATATCCAACTTATTGAGCATGTGGACAAAAGGGAACCCTTCTAACGCATATGGAGTGAAAATGGGTACACATGATTTTGGCAAACATTTTGACAAAATCTAGTAAAACGAAGCTTTCCAGTCCCAACTAAAGAGTTGGGATATTATCTGGAGCCTGGGCAAATACTGACTTCTAAAGAGATACTGCTCTATTCTGAGTCCTCTACCTTAGGAGGAAATCACTGTGAGATGCTCACTAAAGGTTCATGGGCAGGACACCTGGGTGGGACAAAATGAACTTAGGAATGCGAATCAGGGGACAGCCAATACATTAAAGTGAGTAAGTCTTGAGGTCAAAGCGTTGACTAGGAAGAGCAAACTGAAAAGAGACATCATTTGTGAGAAAGCTAAAAATACACAAAAGAGTACTGTGCATAATTTAAACCTATATGTGTGTTTATTACACACGATTTGAAAGGATATATAGCATCTTAAGTATAGTAATTACCTCTGAGAGGGGAAGGAGAGACATAGGATTAAGTAGAAGTCTTAAGGAGGCCTCAAGTGTATTTTAACTCTAAAAACATAATGTGAATCAGATATGGCAAAATGTCAATATTTATTATACCTCAGGGTGGAAGCGGGGTGTCAGTTATATTAGCTTCTGTTCCTTTTATATCTTTGAATCTTTTCATAATTCAAATATTTAAAAAGAAATCAACATGTTATCCTCAAGGCTGTATTCTTGTTGAATAAGGCTCTGAAGAAATAAAGTTCTAGCTCATGGCCCAGAACATAATAGAAACCAATTTGATCAACAGTATTCAGTGAAGAATCCCCTCAGAAATTGTGATTGCAATCAAATGCTTAATATTTGACCTTAATAACTGCCAAATGGAAAGCTGAGTTAGATAGTACCCACCTCCTAAACCCCGGCTCCTGTGCACACATCTCTATTTGTATGGAGATATTTGATGGAGTCTAAAAGGAAGAGAGGGGTTGTGTGTTGATTTGTTTTGTTTGTGCAAGGTCACCCTGAAGAAGAGTTGAGGAGGAGTAAAACACAGGAGGTGACCTGCTGTCTTTTTCTGCCTGCCTCTAGGCATGATTCTTTGCCCAAGGAAGAGGGAGAAAAGCTAAAATCTAATGGGACCGTTTTCATAAGGGTTACTGTGGGGCCCAAAACACACCCAGAGCCGCTTGGAAACCCCAAGTATGGAAAAGAGCATTCTGTTTGCTCCAGCATGGAATAAAGAATCTCTCTAGGGAGAGTTAGGAGGTAGGGTCTTGGTATAAAAAACAGTGTTGTTGATGTGGCATTGTCAGAAGAGGCAGAAAGAAGGCTCTTTTATGAAGAGATTGGAACAGAAAATACCATCAACCTTCTAAGAGGAAAAAAATGGCAGAGGAAGGGGTGCAGAACCCTCACTTTTTAAATAGGGGCTCAGAGCACAATTTAGCCTTAATATTCCAATGATCTTATTATACTCTTCAAGCTGGTAAAACCTAGACCTTGAAATCATTCAGTCTGATTTTATTCACTGTAACTAACAAGACATCCATTTCTCTTATCACAAGTCAGTGTTTTTCTGGGTCTGACCCTTAAGGAAAACATCCTCCCATGCTCTGCTCCTCCGAGCATTAAATACATATTTATTTAGGGCTTGGTCAACTTCTACTGCAGTTTAATCAACATACCATTTTTCCGTCTACATTGCTGTTCAATTTCCTGTTTTAGTTTATCCTGTTTTGTTTTTAAAAGTGGTAAGACAGAAAAACAAAAGTTTATAGAACAATGATCCGTCTTAACAGAACCTAAGACGTTAGTTTAACTATGAATTCTTCTAACTCTTTAAGAGGGTCTGAAAAATCAAATACCCCAAAAGTAATTTGGAGACAGAAAAAGTCTCAGATGACTTCAGATATGATGCTGATTCTGCTTCCCACTAATTAGGACAAAACACAGCATTGCCTTTGTGATTCGCACATTATATATTAGAATTTCTGATACAGGATTTTATAAATAGAAGCTTCTTTCTACTTTCTGAATTACATCCAAGAATGTAGACATCACTTTACTGTTATTTATCAGAAATCCTGGATTGGACTTAATAGCTTATGTCCTAAAAGGGTGATCAAAGTTGGAAATAAACTTTTAAGTTCTTGCTATACTTTTGTATTCAGAGTGCACATCAGGCCACAAAATGATGACATTCCAGGAGTAATGAAATCAGAGTTAAGTATGCAGATAAAAATCAAGGTCGCCTCACTCTAGTGTTAATGGAGATCCAAAACCAGAGGTGAGGAAGATCTGGACTGAGTCCTCCTGAGAGACTTTAGAGGTGAAGTTTCAGAGCACAGGGTGAATCAGTAAAATGAATGAGAAGTTGCGTTAAAGATGCAAATAGGACTGCTGACAACGGTAAGAGCAAAATCCAAGGTTAACTAGAGGTAGTGGAAATGAACTGCCAACCAACTCCACTGCCTCCGAGTAACTACCTAAAAGGTCCATGCTCAGCTTTAAATGCTCTGATGATTCCCTTTAATATAGCAGGGACTATAAAATCTCTTTATCAAGACACAAGCACAAACATCTGATGCCTGCCTATAATTCCTACCTGTCTCTCTCTGTCTTCCACCTATTCCTACATGTATTCAAATATTCCAATTAGACTGAATTACTTCCATGTCTTCAGATACGACAGGGAGACATACCAGGTCACATCAACATGTCCATGATCAATTTATTCTTTCATACTGAGATGTACTTCTTTCTCTTTGGCCTAGGTGAATTCCTCCTCAATCTTCAATGTCCAGTTTAGAATTGACTGCCATTGTGAAGCCTTCCGTAATCCCCAGACACCTCAAAGTTGGTTGTTCTCTACACTTTTATAGTATCCTAATTATGCATGCAATTTTATAAGACAGTACACTGTATTAAGGTTGTTTGACATTTCTGTATGCCTACTGTTTCACACAGGAGTCACTTTTAGGTAGGGACCACCTCTTCTTCACACTTTGAATCTTAAACTCTTATGCTTCTAGCACAGCTAATCTATCCAGTTGGGAGAAGGATGAGAAGTGAAAGAATGGGATGTAGGGAAGAAT